TATTTGAAGTGCCCTGCCCTCACATGGGTGAGGTCTCTCTCAACTATAGTTTTGTTTAATATTTCCCGCATTAGTTTGTCTGAAGAGCAAATTTCAAGATTTCGTATGTGTTAAAGTTTACTTTGATACATGATCTTGAAGGTGCATGTAAAAAAGTATACCGTTATGATAGACGACGAATAAAAAAAATAACATTGTTACAAAGCAGTGCTAAAGAATCAATTCATGCTGATATTGCAGGTTGCTTTTAATGCAAGGGATTAAGGATTTATCAATTAAGGCCACATATCATGTCTCCTGCATGTTCTTGACTTTGGCAGATAATTTCAAAGACAATTATTGTCGTCACAACAATTTTTTAATTGATAACATTTCAAGGTTAATTCATGCAAATAAATTTAAATGAATTCTGCACTTTATTCTCAAAAGGACCATAGCTATATACTTTGTTTTGCTTAAATTCTATACCTGTCATCAATATAGACAATAAAGACTGTGATTACAAAGTAAACGAAGTTGACAAAATCTTTCAAGTTAGTAAAGTTGTATCTAACATCAAACTCAAATAGAACAATGCAATTGTTTTTAGCCACTTGTTTGAGTCGTTAAATAATTAACAACACTTTGTTATCTCGAGTGGCTTACTGTGTTAGTTCAATCAACCACTGAGCAATCTGAGCGATAAACTGCACACCATCGCAACATGTGCCAAGCTATTTGATAACACGATTTATTGCACCTTAACACAACTGTGCAGGGCCGATTTTTGCACATAAACTTTCACAGTAATATTTTGTGCAATATACACATTTATGGATTTGTAATAAGGCAGTTATTCGCTCGTTAATGTTTGTAATTTATATTTGCAGTATCGGTCACTGATTATGGTGACATTCTGTACGTTCTCTTACGACATTGCCAATCTGTATTTTCGTTTTTGTTGCTACGTTCGCTATCACTTGCTGTTGCTTTAAGATATAATTCAATTAGTAGGTTATCGCTTTTTAACACAATTTTATGAACTTGAAATTGATAATCATATATGTGTCTATACTTCATCTTATCTCACTAATTCTTATTAATATTATAAAGTCGAATGTTTGGATGGATGTTTGTTTGAAGGTATCTTCAGAACGGCTGTATGGATCTTGCTGAAATTTGGCATAGGTGTAGAACATAGGATACATTTTTTTTATACCGCGCGAACAGAGTCGCAGTTTACAGCGAGTTTACAATATAACTATTGTCTGCAACTTCGTCTTTTTCAAATTTAATAACATGTCAATCATTGCGAAAAATTTATTCAAACTTTGTTTTAAGTTGTTTTTTTTTGTTTTTTGTCAGACATGCACTTACAGAAATTTTATCCTATTGTTTTAATTTACGAATTGACGTATTGCTTTTCTTGTGCATTAAAAATGTTCTGTTATACAATACATTGTGCAATATAAATATATTCACACAAGGTTTTTGTTTGCAGGTCGAAACATCCAGATATGTTCATAGACGAGAATGAGACGTAAGTAATTATATATAATATTAAAATCACAATAATAAAATATTTAATATTCTTCTTAATATTAAACCTAATAAAAATATATGCAACTCAAACATCACAATCGACGACTTAAAAGTTACTGGATCGTATAAACTTTTATGCCATTGGAAACTTTGGATAAGCATGTTTTGCTTGAGTTTTAGGCGAAAGTAAAAATTAATATTTGTTTATCATTAGTCCATTCCTTTAAAAATAGTTACGTAAGTCACGTGATGTGACAAGAATAGTATAGACACGCTTTAATGACGTATGATGAATACATAATGATGCCTCGTTGACTGCAGTCCACAACTTGGAGTTTGTTAACCCGTGCCCAATAGTGTACTCCTGATGTGTTACACCTACCTCATTTATATTCACCACCTTCACCCAATGACACGATTATAGGAATTGTACCAAGTTTATGTTCCATCACAGACACAGGATAATTCATGGTTTTTTTTTTCATTTACATTTTTTATGTACAAGAAGATTGACAATATCGTAATCCAATATGTAAAAAAAATCACAGCTAAAATAGTTTTGTAGTAATAGTGTTTTGGTTTTTACGAAAAAAAAATTAAACTTTCATGATGTACAGGAACTATTGTTAGTTCTCTGTTAAAATCCTAGGATCTAGTTTAAAGTTATTATTTTCAGTCATAAAATACACGGAAAAACTATTATTATAAATATAAAATAGATAATGTTTACGCGCGACTGATAGTTGTATTTATCAGATTATTATAGTTTATGATTAATTTATACGCACGCTATCATTTGTGACTCATTTCAGAAAATTTTTAATAATATCTCAGTCAAACAGCAAACTGTTTAAAAGTAGATAAAATCTATTTCCATAATAATACAATCTGAAAACTTGTGCTATGCAGATTTTATACGGCTAATTAATATATTTTGATAAGACATTGTATAGCTAAGTTACGCAAGATAAAGATCTGTTTTACCACAGACCGCATTAGTTGAATAAACAAAACCGAGATTACATGATTACAAGCCTTGGACTTTTCTTATGTGATGTCACAATAATGTAAGTTAACATAACGGTTTCAAGGACAAAGTGGGATAACAAATATTGATTAAAATTGTACTGTGTCTGGTAATCGATGGCACTCGCAAATAACTTAGGTACAAACGTATGTAGATGCCATCCACATTTATGCCAAAATAGTTTTAAAATTTTTAAATGCGCGATTAAAGTATCCGTGACTATACCTTTCAGCCTTTCTATTAACAAATACTTGATATCTTTGCGGGATTATGTCCTGTCTGTTTTATCAGATAACCTCGTGAAAGTCTTACTACTATAAAACCTTTTTAATTGCATTATACGGTGTTAGTTTGACAGCGTTGCGCGCGTTTGTCTACTGTGAATATTTATTTAATCTGTGACAGTGAGATATGGGAATAGAGTATTGCGAGTGGTGAGTGTCACTTTAACACTATCGTGAATTTCCACTGGCAAATTACAAAAAACTTGTCTAGGTACCTAATATTATTCGTAGTAGTACATTTTGATAATTTTTTAGTTTTTGAATTTTCGTAACTTCAGTGATACTAATGTACCATTTTAATTGATGATACGTATTCCATTATTACTACCCTCACGATAGTGCATAGTGTGGGACAACATTTAAAATTCTCCTAATTAGGTGAAGGGGTTACACATATGTTTGAAATAGTACATTATTGTAATGGCTAGCTACATTTTACTAAATTTTTAAAGCTCTATGTTAATCAAGACTTGCAATTTGACATTTGTATTTATTTTTTATTCATACGTTCACAACTCGAGCATGTCCTTTGAGTTTATTTAACCTTCTAAAATTGACTCGTTTAGGCACATAGTATGACCATAAGCTAAAGTCAGAATGAAAGCTGATAAGGTGGTTTCAGCAGAGAACTGGTAGTAATAAATCATCAATAATCATGACCACGCCGCCGTGCAATGGACTGGCCATTAGCCTCGCTAAAACAACTGCATTGGCTTTTGTCCAAATATTCTAATAAATTCCTTGTCAGATCTGCCTTTATTTTGCCAAATTAATTGAATCTTTTTGAATGACTTAAGATTTCATATTGGTATAACGAAAATTATAAACATGTCTGGTTGTGTTCAAATATAAAAGACAATCTTAGTTGATTCTCCGATATTTCTGCCCAATAAATACGCAATCGATCTTGGTACACTAAATGCCAAAGTGAACTGAATGTTACCATGTATCTTAAGATTTGAGCGACTAAACAACCGGAAAGGAAGGTAATTTGTTTCTCCCTCTCTATGTTTTTGTAGTTACCATTAGAAACAATATTTTGACAGAAGCACACTAACTACGATATTGTTTGTTTTATATTACGTAACTTACAATATTTATAAACTTATGACATTGTTTGACCTCTAACGGATTTAAGGCTTGAAGATATGGTTTTATCATGCGTGACGATATGATTTTTAATCACCAGGATTATTTGTGTTACTAAAACAGAATTTATTGTCCAGTGTTGTGATAACTGAAGATTATTTTACGTAAATAGTAATTTTTTTTATGACCGCACTTAGCTAAATGGTAATCGTTAAAATCGTAATGCTCGTGATATTAACAAGGCATTATTAGTGTTAGGTAATGAAAAAAAAATTGAGGACATTTTTTACGATAATTACGTAAAACTTAAATTTATTCCAGTTTTTGTTACAATGTGTCTGTAAATAATTACATTCATTACTCAGAGTAAAGAGGAATAAAAAACTATATTAGACATATTGCGACATCGTGACAAACATGAAGCTTATTATATGTTACATTTGAATTAATTGTTCGATTAAAACAAAACGTGACCGTAGTTTCGGTATAATCAGCCAGCCAGCAAGGGGAGTTCTTATGAATTTTAAATAAAGATGTTTGTAACAAAAATGAATAGTACAGTAAATTCACGTAATGAAATAGAAATACTCGACTTGATATCTTGTTTCGCGCCCGTCTTTTACAATTTCATAAAATGGGTCGCCGCATCAAATATTAACATCGCTCCGTATTGTACATAATGGTTTTGAGTTCGCTACAATCTTATATAAAAGTATAAAAAGTGAATTAACTAGTTGAAGACTATACTATTTATTGTAATAACGATTCAATGCTGTAAGAAATTAATTACCCCTTATTTGAGTAAGTTTAAATACTGCTGTAATTGAATGAGATTTAATATAATTGCTGCATAGCACAAGTTGCAAGAACCATTATTTGCTTGTTGAAGTAAGCTTAATAAAATGTACTTTTAAAGAAGTAACTTTGCTATTTAATAATTAAGCTTTATATAACTTCATATTAAAGCCTGTCGAAGTTATTTGAGGCCAATATTTATGACAATAAAAAGGCAGTGTAGTACAGACATGCGAGGCGCATGCCCGTCTGCATTGACGTTCACACGCACGCGACGCACCGATATGTCTACACTCATACAAACAGACCGTTATTCTGCCTCCTATAGACATTACCAGAATAACGAAAGATCCAATCCTTTGCAATACACAAATACACAGGATGAAATCAAACAGTCGGTATGAAGGTATATAATTCTAAATGTACGAGAATATACTTATGCTTGAATTTTTCCATCTAACTATTTTCTGTCGTCTTCGTGAGCTACTTTGTCTAAAAAATTATACAATAGTAGTTTCTTAACTTTTTATCTTGAAAGTAGAACAATAATTTAATATTTTCTTGAAGGATTGAAAAACGATGACTTGTAGTTTTTTCATCGGTTTATAATTCGACAAATTATCTTGTTATACATATAATCTTATATATAAGATTAATATAAAAACAGTCATGTGATGCGTGAATATGTGATTATGATCAAAGTGCGTTGTAAAAGGTTACGTCTTTGCAACCGAGGTTAAGTTCCTTCCTAATGATAAATTAATCGCATAGTCTTTAATGCCATTTTTTTTATATTTATTGTGATGAGCATGTAAGATATAACATCTTTTAAATCCTATAGAACTCGTAGCTACAGTATTTTTGACAAATATAATTGGCCTGGAGATCCATCAAAGAAGGCACCACTTTAGTTAAGAACAGCTATACGGTTTAAAAAATATATATGTATTATGTTTAGTTAGCACGAAATCGGAAATCAAATTGAAGCACTCGTTTTATAAAACTTAAATTGGTATAAGTCTGATACACACAAGTAAAGTAGGTCATTGCGAAGCGCGGTGCTTTTCATACCTTATCTGGTGTCAAAGGTTTTTCCGCGCAGTAGCGGACGTATTTTTCTTTGACAGGCTTTGACAAGCACAAGGGCGGGGACAATGTTTTTCTCGTCAAAATTACTGGTTTGCTTAGCAAACAGAGTTTAATGCATTTCTTGCACTAAGTTCTAAGTGTTCAATAATCTTTTTATTAACCTTTAAAGAAGGTTATGAAAATTATAAAAATATATTACCAGCTTTATTAATCGTAATACAGAAATTTCAATTTTCAACATTCTGTACTGCCATGTTCTGTGCGCTTAATTGTATACATTACATTTACGGTGTTTCGAAAGCGCAGAAATCATAAACACAACAAGAATTAAATTATTCAAACTTTCGTGAGACATTATACTAAAGAACAACAACAAGAATTGTCGTGTGAAAGGGTCAAGGGTGACCTGACAACTGACAATTCATCTGTCGACACCCTTTGACGTCACACGAGTTAGCGTATGACATTAAATGACATAATACAATGCAAAGATAACAAACAAAAATAAGATCACTTTGTTACGCATTATTAGGAATCAATTTTATACATTTATCGCTTTGTAAATTTCCGTAAAATGAGAAGTTACAGATATTTTTTACACCTTACAATATTTTTGTGTGAGTCAATTCTACGTAGTCAGTAAATGGTTATTAAATCATTAATCCATCATTCAACACGCTTATGCTGAGTGACCGTCGGTTCAATAGCACAGATAATGTATCTAGGGC